GTGTGAGAGCTTAGCGAACCGCCAAGGGCGCGGCGTATACAAACGGCGCTTGAGGTTCTCGTCTCTAGGGTTGGTGTCTCGCCGCGGTAGCGGCTTGGAGAACCAAGATCCCTGGAGCAGACATCGGATCCGCTGCTCCTTCACAAACTGAAGTGCCTCTTGCCTCAACTCCTCACGGACTTGATACAAATGCTGACCCCACTGATCCTCAAACGACAGTTCCAAAAGCTCCATTTGAAGCTCTCGTAGTCTGGTGCAGTCGTACTCAAGCAGCTCCTCCTCGACCTCCAACACGTCCTTGGTCCGGCTTGCCTGGCCGACAACTTGCTCGATGAGAATTCGGACCAGCTCTGCCACCTTTTCGAAATCCAGGTGCTCCGCAGCGGTGGACTTCCATACGCGGAAGAAAGCTTGCAGGCCGGCCGTGTGGAGTCGCGACCACTGGAGGAGGAGCGGACGGAATAGCTTTTCGTTGTTTTTAATACCGTCCAAGCCTTGGTAACCCTTAATGTCCTCAACGTCCGACTTCTCCACCTCGAAATGGTCGTATAGGATCATCGTTACCGCGAGACTTGCCCTAGCGACCGGGCACCTTTCGTTCCTTGCTTTTGTGGATTGTTCCAGAAGCATCTTCTGGAAGCTGTCCTCGTTCTTGCGCACGTAGTCTGTCAGGTCCATCATGCCCAAGAAACCAGGGACCTCAAACTCCTGTGTAGGACTCTCGGTTTCGAAGCCCAGTCTCCTCCATTTCTCAGGGTTGTGACGCCGGCTTCCCTTCTTCCCAAGCTCATTGACCTCGTCCAACCGGTGAATGCCATTGACTTGCTTCTCTGGGTTGCTGGCAAGGTGAAGTCCCTTCAGTCCCCGCCTGTGCTCGGGCCGCTCGAGGTCAACCCTCACCTCCCGCCACTTTCTCAGGAGAACCTTAGTCAAGGACTGGAACTCAAGCAGAGGATGCGCAAGATCCTGTAGTGACGAGCTCTGCATCAGGTTGTACACTGCCTTGATAAGACCGAGATCCTGCAAGCGCTTGATGAATTTTGACCACTCTTCCATCGCAGGGTTGTTCGCCTTCGTGATGTTGGTGTCGCTGGATACAGCGTCGCGGATCATGGCATTGATGAGCATGAGGGCATTGGCGCACAGCGCGTGGTCGGCGGACTGGAGCTGGGCGATAACGAGCTCAAAGAACTGCGGGTAGACTGCGACGGCGGGCTTCAGGGCTCTGAAACCAAAAGATCCCGGCGTGCGAGGGGTCGTCGGGCGAGAAGACTGTGTGTGGCCGACGAGGGCGACCAGGATCGACATAGCACCGCGCAAAATGTTGACAAGAGGGTTCGTAACGATCAATTCGACAATACGCTCCACGAGATCCCCTGACGACGATCCCTCAAATATCTCCCAGCCCATGTCTACTTCCAGTAGGCGCGTCAAACTCTGCAACGAGTACGCCAACGTGTTTCCTCCCGCACTCATAATCAGGCGTCGTAGAATGACCAGGCCTCCCGAGGATATGAAAACGTCGGCAAAGGCAGGGTCGTTTATAGAAGACTGCAGCTTGAAGACGGCCATTTTCCTGGCGGCGTCCTCGTCGCTCGCGAGGCGCGACAGAAGCGCGGGAATATCGGCCTGATCCATGGTAGCGGCGTCGAGAAGGTATGTACAGGTTCGGAGCGGGAAGGAAGAGCGTCGGTGCTGTGACCGATTGTCGAACAGAAGGTCGTCAGCAGTTGGAGTACAGAGTCGCGTCCGTCGTAGTCATGGCCCACGGCTGTGAGAGAGAGAAAGCGCTCGGGTCGGGTTATATAAGGCAAAGGGTATCGGACGGAAGATCTCGAGGATTGGCGGAAGAGGGTCCGTGTCAAGCAAGATGGAACACGGGCAGAAGCTTCTCTGTAGATCCCTCGCAAATGTGGACGGAGGGAATGGCGTCGATCGTGGGTATAAAAAAAGAATTTTAGGATGCTCCGTCGACAAGGGGGAAATAGTGTACACAGAAGGGTCAAGGAAGGATTGTGAGGGTGGTGTAATTATTCGTACACTAAAAAAGGGGAGAGAAGGAGACGGGACGGGAGAGAAGAGTGTGCGTCGAGGGCTGTCGAAGCAACAGACCAGTTGTGTTGACTTTGGTCCGCGTTAGATGCGCACGGGCGGGAAGTTTGCGCATGTCCTGCAGGAGGTGGGAAAGCACAGATGCAGCGACAACGGGGAGGATCCCAGCAAGCCTCCAATTGATTTGGGGCCGTTTTGGGGTTCACTTTCACCACAGTCAGCCGGTGTTGCACCAATGGTGCTGCACGGCTTGGTCTTCTTTGCTCCACCTCTCTTCTCGGGGATGTTTTAGTGGATTTTGGGGGGGTTTTTGCTTGGCTTCAAGTCCGAGAGTGACTGGAACGGCGGGACTGCGGCGACTGGTCGGCAAGTGAGATAGCGCGTCCAACGACTGGTTTCACCATGTCTTCCCACCGGAGACCGTGAATATTTTCATCATCTCTCGGAAGGAACCTTATTGAGATTGTTCAGCGACGCGCGGGTTTGTTGATTTTCCATCTAAGTGTGGTCTCGTGACCTGAGGTTAGACTGTACACCTCGGAATTTTGACTTCTGTCGACAAGTCATCGTCATCGGATGAGTGAACCTTTAGTTACGGTGGGCAGAACATCATTTAGTCTAGCAGACGCACAAACGAATCTGAAAGCCGGTCCATAGCATTAGACCAAAATGATGATCCCTCTGTTGGCATCTTTCAACTAGTAGTCCGATATCATTGGGTTGAGGAGAACCCAGTGTTTCAGATGAGGAGCTCAAGAAGCAACTTATCGAAGCCAGCATTGCAATGAGGTCGAGCAAGGCGTTTTGATTGGTATCAAGCCTCTATGGCCTGTTTAGATGAGGGGAACATTGAATTGTGCCAGAACCGAGGATCATTGTCTGGACCTGGAATGAGAAAAAGCCGTTGTAAGGCTGACCTGGGAATGTTTGGATTCTATCGTAAAACAACGAGAAACCACACAATTCGCCCAAAACGTTCCAGACCATCGGCTGGCAACGCCGGTACGTACTCTGTTTATTCCAGTCCCTGAACACAATCAGCGGGGTTCCATAAGCAAGAACTGCCTAGAACCCACCACTGCTCGAGCCACACGTTTCTAGCCACAGGCCGAGCTCCAGCCTCAACATTACTAATCGTCGTGGCGCGCGAGGCTGCTAGAAATTCCAACCTCTGGCCCGTCGCATTTGTCGCGCCGCAAGCAAGCCCGTTTCCGCAGCTCCATCAAAAAACGCGGCCGCCAAACGAGACAATCGAATTTCTCCCTCCCAACGAGCAATCAAGCATCTAGAACCATCGTCCATCACTTCACCACGCGGGAGTTACATATCAGATACAAGCACACTCGAAACCCACAGCGCGACGACAGTCTTAAACCGCAACCATGGCCAACTTCCTCGCCTCCATCTTCGGCACGGAGCTCGACAAGGTCAACTGCTCCTTCTACTTCAAGATCGGCGCTTGCCGCCACGGCGACCGCTGCTCGAGAAAACACGTCAAGCCCAGCTACTCGCAGACCATCCTCATGCCCAACCTCTACCAGAACCCGGCCTACGACCCAAAGAACCGCATGAACCCGTCCCAGCTGCAGAACCACTTTGACGCCTTTTACGAGGATATCTGGTGCGAGCTCTGCAAGTACGGCGAGCTCGAGGAGCTCGTGGTGTGCGACAATAACAATGACCGTGCGTCGTCGTCCTCTTCTTCCTTCCCTCTCACCCATTCTCTAGTGGTCTTAAGAAGATGATCGTATACTAACCAAAGACACACAGACCTCATAGGAAACGTCTACGCCCGCTTCAAATACGAAGACTCTGCCCAAAAGGCCTGCGACGACCTCAACTCGCGGTGGTACGCCGCCCGCCCCATATACTGCGAGCTCTCCCCCGTCACCGACTTCCGCGAGGCCTGCTGCCGCCTCAACTCGGGCGAGGGCTGCGTCCGCGGCGGCTTCTGCAACTTCATCCACCGCAAGAACCCCTCCGAGGACCTCGACCGCGACCTCACCCTCAGCACCAAGAAGTGGCTCAAGGACCGCGGCCGCGACGAGAGGAGCCCGTCTCGCTCGCCTACCCCCGAACCCACGCGCCGTCGGTACTAAAGAGCAAGAAAGGGATGGTAATTCGGTTCAGGGGAACACAACGATTGAAAGCTGTTTGTTTGAAGCGTATCGTTGTCGTATGAGGCGGAACAGAGCGCGACGGTTCCAAACGACAAAGGATGCGGACGATGATCAAACTCTGGCATTGAAGCTCGGCTGAGCAAAACAAACCAGGCTGTTTGGAGGTTGCCGGAAGCCGGGCCGCCGGGCATTGGCATGTCGTATCATGTCACGACAGGTCTAATCAGCAGAAGGAGGAAGAGGAAGACGAAGAGTGCAAGGCGAAACCCCCAGAAATTGAGAATTTGATACCCATCCCCCGTACCTGTCTCAAAGGGGTGGATTGGAAGACCAAATAAAAAAGAGGGTGAGAGCGGCGTTTATGGCGTTTCCGGGATGGGCTGGGGTACTATGGGAGAAACTCTTGAAAGGGCAGAGCACCATGTAACAAAACATGTGAGATTAAGTAGTGCCTCCAAATCGAAGAGCAACTACGACCCCTGCATCATCATCATCAACCCTTGCCTCGGATATTGGTAGTGAATCATGTCCAAACAACTTCTCCGCAGTTGAGTGCCGTTATTACTGAGCAGTAAGCAATGCTATACATATCTACAGAGGTATCCCTTTTCTACCAAACCCCTTCCCCGGGTGTTCGCCAATGCAAAAGCTTTATAGTTTGTTACCCCCCGACCAGCCTCCCTTTCCTCCATCCCCTCTAGCCAGAGATCCGCCTCCCATGGTGAATTAATGTGATGTTTGGCAAAAAAGGGGTTCGCCAGATGGGGTGGGAGGGGAAAACAAAAACCAGAGGGACGGACGTGCGTCCTAGAATAGCTTGGCTCTGATCTACTCCAAAGCATCATGGAAGCTGTCGTTACTCTCATCGGCTCTCTTCAGCGGCGGTACGCTCTTCTTCATGTCTGTGAAGTCCATCAATGGTCCCTCTTTTGCTTGCGTTCCGGTGCTGTTGAGCATCCCTTCGATGTCCTTGGATCCACTCCGCGCCTCCTGAGCTGCCGGAGGAATACCGCTTGGTGGCTGAACAGCAGGCGCAGTTGCTGTTGGGGCTGCCGGAGTGGTAGCTGGCGCGTCGCCGAAATCGATCAAGTCATTGCCTCCAACATGTTGCTGGGCGATCGGAGCGGAGGCCGGGGCCGGGGCTGGGGCCTCTGCTGTCGCAGAGGGCTTGTGGGGAGGAATGGCGTTTGTCGTAGAAGGCTTCTGGCCCGGAAGAATAGGGTATATGGCCAAAATTTGCTCAGTCTGCTTCTCTGGGTTCGTGTGGTCACTATTTTGTGTCAGTATTTCTTGATCCGATGTGAGAGTTAGATGTACTCACATGTGAGCATTGATGATCCACTCCAGCTCCTCCTCGCCCTCTTCAGGACCACCCGGGCCGCCCTGAACAGCTCTGAAAAGCCTAGGCTTCCATTCAACGCCTTCGCGAGCTCTTGTCTCGCGTTCCTCGCGTTGTCTGTCCTCAACCTTGGTCTTCTCGTCCGTCGCAAGCTCATGGTTGCGATCCTTTACGGCCTGAGCTGTCGGTGCCCAAAGCTTCTGAGATTCGCGCTCATCCTGCTCTTCGATTGGCCGCACCAGGGGACTGCTGGGCTTCGACCGTCTAGCGTTGAAGAACATCTCCTTATGACCGGTCTGAGGCTGTCAGCAACGTGTCAAAACTGCAGCATCATCCTGAACCTACCTTGACATCCTTGACAAACATCTCATCGTTCCAAAAGCCCGAGAGCTCGTAAAGGACCTCGCCTGTGCTCTCATGCTTGATTGAGCCACCAATCGCATTATAGGTACCGCTGACCCAGCCCTTCACCTTGAACTCAATGTCGGCGACCAAATCGAGCTCTGGGCACCGGACAAAGCTGTGGTCTCCAAGCTCATACTTCATCTTTCCAAAGAGAATGCCTCGAGCGTACATGTTTGGCTGTGTCAAGATACTGGTCTCAAGGTCAGCGTATCATGTCACGAGCGGCTTCCTGACCAACATACTATCGTTCGCCCTTTGTCTTGACCTTGCCCCTATTCAGGAACGACAAGACCGCTGTGCCCTCCATCAAGCTCGCCGCCGAGTTTCCGAGGAACTTGCTCCTGGGCTTGAGTGTGCCATCAACACGGATGTTGTGCTCGGGGACCATGTAGAAGTAGCTAGACTTGGGAGGGTGATGCGATGTTTGCTCGGAGATGTAGTATGCCCTGGTGTTATCGGGCAGATCCCAGTAGCAGGAGAAAACCTCGCCGAGGATCGGGTTCAGGGGTTTCTTCACTCCTCTGGGTACAGGTCAGCAATGTATACGGCTTATACGGGTAGCTCGGAATAACCGACGGTGGTTTAATATGCCATCCACTGAGGTAGAACTTGACAACGGAGACGAATCGTAGTACAGGGTCGTCGATCTCGGGTATAGGGAGGAGCATTTCGGGGTGGCACATGAAGCTACGACAAACGCACATAGTCAGCGAAGGAGGTCTCATAACCCGCATCTTTTTCGGAGACTACTGACTTTGTAATCCTCTCGAGCATACTACGGGGCTCAAGAATGAAGGTTGGCAAAACAACGCGACTCAAGTCAGCTCCCGGACGAAGCTGGGAGATGATGTGGCCGAGCACTGGACTCCATGTTAGCCGAGTGCGCGTGAAGCACCCCGCGAGCAGGCAAATGCGGGCGCAACGTTTCTTGCAGAGGCTTCACTCACCGTTGCCCTGGTCGGCCTCGACCACAGTCGTGTCGTCATCTTCAGCAGCGCCTCTGGCCTCGTCGATGCTCGAGCGATTGCTAGCTGGTGGGTTGGAAAGCCAAGAGGTCAGCATGGTTGGAGGCAACTTTTTTTCTTCGATTTGCGCACGACAGAGGTTTGGAGAGTGGGAGTGGAGGCTTTTCGGCTCCCGGAAGACGCCAGAGCCAAGGTACGCGACTAGGGAAACAAGCAGGGTATAGGGAAACGGGCAACGGGCCGTAAGGGTATGTAAAGGGAAAAGGGTGTTAGAAGGCGCGCGAGTTTGCCGCTGTATGAAGTCCACAACAGGCGCGACGAGGAGGGGACGACTGGTATTATCCAGACAACGGACCAGGCAGTGACGCTAGGGCTGGTAAGACTCACTGAGGCTGGAGGCTCTGGAGCGTCTTCCTGGCACATGGACCAAACCCATGACTGCGACTGGCTCTTGGTGGGCGGTGGGTGCAGCGATGCCCCTCAGTTGTCTTTCAGACCGCTATCGGTCTTATCGGCGCGGTGCCCGGGATGTGCCTTCTTGCTGGAATGAGGGGCAGTGCTCCCCTAAAAGGCGTCTGCTGGTTGCTTGAAGCTGCAAGTAGGGGTAGAGTCGGCAAGTAAAGGATGGGGCCTCGCAGCCCGGTACGTAGTCGAGCGAGAGCGAGGGGACGGCAGTGAAGAGTGGCAGCAGTTGAACAGTGGACTTTGTGGGAACCTGTCGTACTAAAAGTAGTTGTTGGTCGATAAAGCCGAAGATGGTTTGAGTTTCTCCGGGGCAAGGGTTTGCTGGCGAAGGAAGCGTCGGGAGGATAAAGGTTGGGGACGTATCAGTCGGATGCAAAAGTGGGAAAGAAAGAAGTCGGGTTTAATGATGTTGAGTTTAGAGAGGCGAAGAGTTGGAGAGAGAAAAAGAGGCCCGCTTGGCGAAGGGCACTGGCGGGAGGAAAGATGACCTATCGATGTCTCACTCGCTTGCTGTTTTCGATTGGGCGTTGCCGGCCCTGACAACCTGAGCTGGAACGTAAACCAGAGCTGTAGAGAACAAAATGGATGGAAAAAAAGGTAACTGGGCGCCCACTGGGAGACCGGGCGAAGCGGAAAGGGTGAGGCGGATGTCAGATGAAGGTCGATGAAGGTAGGTAACTGTTCCAGGTTGTTGGTTAACCAAGGAACGGCCGGAATTTGAGAAGAGACTGAGGTCAAAGATGAGTTCCCATGTCTGAAGTCGTAAGGAAGGAGCACAAGACCGTGTACAATGTAGTTTGGTGGCACAAGATGACGATTGCCTGGTAGATTCCTTAGCAATTGTCAATGGCGAGAGCAGATTGGTGTCAAAACGAGGCAACTTTGGGCAAGGTCGTAGACGGAAGCTACCTCCACGCCTACCTTAGCAGCTCTTAGCTACCTGTGATGGTCAGCACCAATCCAGTCGCCAGTGGCCTGGGCTGGGCTCCCATGCAGTCCTTACGTCGCTGATGTACGGAGGGGACCCCACAACGGAGGACGGCGGAGGAGGAGGGGTGATGACGTCGCGCCATTCATTGGAAAACTTTTTTTTTGTCCATTTCTCCAATGCCATCATGTTCCATTAGCTCCGTGCACCGCTACCTTAGCTGCCTACCTCGCCGTGCTTTCCCCAACCTAGCTGTCATCATCTCTAAAGTCCAGTGCAATGGTACCCAAGAAGAAGCCTAAAGTAGCCCGACAAACCCGAATCACCTTATGAAGAGTCACTCAAAACACTGGGGTGTTCATCTGCACTTCCGCAATATTTCCCACAAGTGACAACGGGCGGGGAGGAGCGAGCGAGCCATCGAGATGCCAACCCGCGCATCCGTATCTGTTCGCACGGGAGTGTCTGTCACCCCAGCTTCCCCCCCTCCACTCCTTTGTTCCGTCCCATCCCATGTTCAATACCATCAAATGCTGTGCTACCCTGCACCTAATCACATGCCCGCCAGCTTCTCTTCATAAGCCAATCATGCAGTGAGCGACTCCCCCTTCTGTTCAAAATGCTTGAATCCCTCGCCCACTACACGGTGCGCCCTGCTGCAGGGTACTAATTATTGAGACTTATACGGAAAGGTATCTCATCTTGAGGACCTGGCCCATCTCGCGTCTATTTTATACTTGAAAGCTTTCGACCAAATCATATGTATCTACCCAAATGAAATGCTCTACAACGAGCTAGCAATTGTCTATACGTGCATATGTTAGGTACCTAAGGGAAGCATCCCAGTTGAAGATGGAGAGGAGAACGCCGAACAAGATCTCAACAAGACCAAGTCACCTACCTTACCCAGGTGATTGGCGTGCCCAGGCATCTCACCCCCATTATGCAGGTCAATTGTGGCAGTGCTGCTACTTCCAAGCAATATTAACCACTCCGAGTTGCAGACCAAGACCTCATACCCTCAAAGTCCCACGCCCTTCGACCAAGAGGTCCACGACGTTCCAGTCTGGTGGACCACTGAATGGACAGCTCTGTTTCCATACACAGCTTATTGACGAATGGCCCGCACGGGTACCATAGCCCATGTCACTCGCGTTTTTCGGCACCATCGTATGTGTCGGATACACGTCGTATGTCACTTAATACGCGTATCATTGTCAAGCTGCTGTCCTTTCTACCTAAGGAAAGGCACGCTGCTCGTAGGCGCATGCTTTGATGCCTGCCCTTTGCTCTACAACCACCATGATATCCTGACAGGCAGCCAAACAGTGACCAAACCCTGATGATCCGGTCGTGTTGCTGCTTAAAACCACACAAAAAAAAGTAGGCCGCTCTGGAGAGGCTCCCAACGATGCCTAGCCTCGCAAACCATGGCGGCTGTCCCGGGTCTTCCGGCCAGACCTGCCACATCATCCGAGTGCCTAGGCACTTGTCATCTCGGTATAAACCAGTGCCAAATCCACCCGCCATCTTCAGGCTGCGGATTCTGCCCTTTTCCGTCCCCGTGCTTAATCCATCTCTCCTTTCTCGCTATTCGTTGTTCGCAAAGCAATGTGATGAACAGATTGATGGGTATCTTGTTTTTTCCGAATGTCCAGGTCTTGCTTCCAACCACAACAATGCTTTGGATAATTCTTCGCTTTTCTCACAGCTCCTTACTTGTCAATTCGAGTGGGCTTCGTCTATCGGCCTCTCAGTGACCTGGAACCCTTGACGGTGGCCGGTAGACACTGCGTCAGCCGGTCGCGTTCTGTTCGGGAGTTAGCATGAGCCCGAGTCCATTCGGCAATGGGTCTAGGAAAACTTACCCGCTTCGTTTTCGAAGAGGAGCGTGATGTCGTCGTGCTCACCCGGCAAGTCCGGCAGGTCCAGACAAATGAATCCCATGTCGTCTGACGGTCCGTCGCTGCCGTTGGGCATGCGTGGCATGGGGAACTTGGCGTCAACAAACTTGATACCAGCTTTACTGCTCCTCGAAAACGTCTCGTATACATCCGTGCCTTTCAAAACGAAGTTCATACACTGGCCGTGGTGAAAGTCTGGGAAGAACGCGAGGAGTTGCATGATTGTGCCTTGTTGCACCACTTGGACTCGAGTCAATCCCGCCTCCCATTTCTTGTGGATCGGAACCACCATTCTTCGTCGAGAAATTGCAAAGGTAGCGGCGAGGCCGTCGAAGACGACTCGGAATCCAGTCAATGCAGCCTGGAAGGCATGGAGATCTTTCTGCGTCGGGAAGCTGTAAGTGCGAATTGTTTGGGTCGTCTGCAGCATTTGGAGCATTTCGGTCATAGCCTTGGGGATCTCCTTGCCAACAGTTCCGTCTGCTACGTTTGCAGTCATGTCGAACTGTGGCTGGCGCATCACCACGAGAGACTTGGTCTCTTGAACCTCGAGCCTCACTCGCAATTCGCCGGGTTGCAGGTTCACTCGGTCGGTGAGTAAACCCTGCTTGGATTCAACGATGACTCGTAATCTGTCGGCTAGAACTGTCCGAGGATATTCGTCGTCGGCATCTTCGTTGATGACTCGAAGGGATGTCCAGGGGATCTGGCTGACGCCTGGAAGATACTTGCTATCCTGCAACGATGTCGACATGGAGAATCCGATAAGGGGCACATCTGCGTAGATCGTCTCATCTTTTTGCACAGAAGTACCGGAAATGAGGCTGTTAAGCTGGGCCCGCTCCCCCTCATCAGCGAACGAGAGCACCATGCTCACCTTTATGCGCTTGTTCGGATCCGGGTTGACATTGTCGTACTTGAGCATCAAGGCAGCATCACCTCCGTCCGACCTAAGGAAACTGAAGGGGATTGGCATCTGTGGCGTGTAGGTGTGGTTGACACCGCTCAGCGTTCTCGTGCGAGGGCCTGTCACCACGACGATTCTGTACCCCCTATGGTAAGCGCGTGGACCTGCAGCAGCATGCTCCTTATGAATCTTCTCAAACAGAGCCACATCGCAATTTGCCACGGCTTCCTTGGGAAACGCCCGGGAATTGGGATTTGAGTCGAAGTACTGGAATGACCGAAGGGTAGAACGGAAAACGCAGTGCTCGTCGGATCGAGCGTACAGTGTCGACTGCACCTGGGCACCGAAATCGTACATATTCCACAGCATTCGGTAGTCCTGCTGTGAGCACTGAACGACGATCATGAAGCCTCTGGGCAGTTTGATCTCGAGTGAGTGGGTTGAATTGCGCCAGCGGACATCGTCCCAGGTCGGGCCCGAGTTCTTATTTCCTTGGATTCGTAAGTTGACTTCACCGTGTTGACTAGCGATAACAAAGACCAAGTTGTGCTGTTTGTTAGGTCGGACCATGGTCAGGAGGCAAGGGAAGTAGAATCTCTGAGAATCCATGCCTTGTTCCATCAAGAACACGTCCGTGCTCACTCTGCCGAATGTGAAGTTCTCAGCAGTATCGTTAGGGGGCAGAGTCTCCAGAATTTCGAAAGCAGAGGGGGTGCGAACAACACCCGTCATGGCTGCAGATGAATCGGCAGTGAGCAAGGCAATCATGTCAACGCTCAGTCGGGGATATTCAACCCAGATAGACTTGTCGATGGTCTGAGGCAAGAACGCCTCTTCAGGCGGAAGGAACCCGTTTCTTTTCATTGAGACGGCAAGCTTCTTGAGAGCGCCGACCAACGTTGAGCGAATCTCAGTAATGCCTGCATCGGGCGCAAGGCGCTTGTTCTCCTGCACCTCAGGTATGGCTTCCTCCACCAACCAGTAGCCTTTGGCAAGGTTGGCATATGCCTGCTGGCGATCATTCTCGTTCTGCATCTGGTCTTGAGGACTACCAGGTCGTGCACGAATTGCAACCTCTAAAGCAGTGCGTCCTTTGATGAGCCACCACAGTGCAGCACGTGATAGCTCTAGCGGTGAACAGGCCGAAATGGGCTTGATTGTCTCGGCATGCAGCCTGAATAGTTCATTAAAGTGGCGAGTGCGAGTGACGAATGTGTTCAGAGCGTCATCACCAACTGCAAGGACTGCATCATGCAAGTTGAAGGATGCCTGTCTCGAGGCAACTGTTGCAGATGGGGGCGCCATGTGGTACTGTGAATTGACAGAAGGCTGCCGAGAGAAGTTGGCAGCTGTGTTCTGCTGCTGGCTGAATTCGGTGCTGCTGGAATATATGGATGAGGGGCTTTGCTCGGGAGGCTTTCTGTAGTCATCTGGGGATCTCGGCTGGAGAGGCACCTTGCTAGGTGGCACTGGAGATCTGGTTGGGGACTCGTTTATCTGCGGTACGAGAGGCGTTTGGCCTCCATGCTCCTCCCGCTCAGCTTGACGTGCGGCCTCTGCAAATGCCTTGCCCTCTGCTTGTCGCATCTCCGCCTGCTGGTGCTCGATGAAGGACTTTCGATTCTCGTTCTTCGCGATGGTCGGGGTGTCTAGGAATGGCGCCGAAACTGCGTTACCTGGTGCCACCTCTCTATAAGCTGGAGGGGGTTCTTTGGGCTCGATGGGCTCGTTGCTGACAGAGGAGAAGCCTGTCTGTGTTCGTCGCAGGCGGCCAGGCATGAAGTCTGAGTCCTCTTTCGGCGCTGAGGGCGCTCTCGGCGGGGAGTCGTGAACAGCAGCCACGGGTGTACGTCGTGGGGACGGAGGAGGTCGCTGCTTCTTGCGCCTCGATACCTCAATGGCTGGGATCTCCGACTCATCACCACCTTCGCCAATGATGTCGGGTTTCTGGTCCACAAAACGAACGGTCAAGCCCTTTCGGTTGCTACGCCGCGGGCTCCGAGGTGGGATGCCCGGGCTTAGGCCAGGGCTGCGGGCGGAGTACTGGTTCGGGGGGTTCAGGCTTTGCTGTGAGTGACTAGCAACAGACAAGGCTTGTGGATAGCGAGTAGCGGAGGAGATATCGAGCTTCGAAAGCTGGGGGATGGCGGTGGAAGGCGAGGCATGGTTGACCTGCAGGGTATCAGAGGGGCCGTTGAGGAAATCATTGATATTATTGCCCGTTTCTTCGGCCGTGGGCTTGCGATCTTTCTCTTTGAGGGCAAAGAGCTTCCCCATTAGACGACCCCGCCTCGAGGTCGCGGAAGGCGGCTCGTTCTCCATTGTTTGAAATCGTTATCGACGCGCGGTAATATCGAAACCATAGGAGTAGGTGGGATCCTGCGCAGAGTAGGCAGCGTCAGCAAAGTCAAGCAAGGTAGGAGGCGTGAGCTGCCCCTCCGGTGGGATGTAGTTGGAGGAGGAAGGAGGGATGGGTATCAGCAGCCAGACCAGAAATTGAAATACCTCGAAGAATTACAGAGCAGACTACAGTCGAAGCTGCTAAAAATGCCTGCAATCACTCGTGAGCGGAAAGTGCGATTCTTGTATTTTTGAAAGTTGGCAAGTCGATTTGAGAGAAGGACGCGGCACCCGTGATAATTGTGCGAAGTGGCCTACCCAAGGTTTGGCGGTAGGTAGTCGTCTGTCAGCCCGGCGGGTGCGAAGCAAGGTAGTTGCAGCGAGAGCAGTGACAATTCAAGGTTGGAGAAGGTCTGGGTTTGGCACAACGAGGCCAGACGAATCGGGATTGTTTGCCTTGCAGCAGGTAAGTTGGTGGTGCTTGCTGCTGGCGTCACTGCAAATGCGACCGTGACTGTGAAAGAAAGGCGGTCGGTGGCTTCAGCCCAAATGGGGTGAGATTTCGACGTTGGGTTTATTCAAGAGAAGCAAGGGGTTTCAGTTTCGGAGAGATCGCAGGTAGGTACGCAGTGGTATTGTATTGGAAGGTGCGGAGCGGCAAGGTAAGGTAAGGTAGGCAGGCACGCAGGTAAGGTGCAGAGCAGTGCAGTCGACGCGCGGGTCTGCGGGTGCGGAGCTTGACGACGACACAGGGAAGGTAAGGTAGGTACGGATACTGGACCTGGGTCTTGGCTTCCTCACTAATCATTACCATGCGGATTCCAGGCGACAGACGGCCACATGCACCACGTCGAGGAAGGAGGTTCCAGCGTCCTCGAGCATGGAAGTTGCAAAAGATGCAATAAAAGGCATGGGGGAGTTGAATATGGGCAGGCGCCCGTGAAGTGCGGATACGTGAGGTGGTGAGGTGAGATTTCCAAGTTGTCTTGGACCGACTCCTCGCTAATACCTCGAAGTACCTTACCACGGTGCGTACAGCGCGTCTGTCTCCAAGTTCCTTGCCTAGGAACTTTACGCTACTTCCCCCCTCATGCGTGGACCCTTGAAGACTCCAGTCCGCCCTTTAAGTGGCCAGGGGCCGTCATTGACGCTACAACAAACTCAACCCCCCTTTCCGATCCCCGCCCAACCAGGCCGGGTCGACGTGGTTGCACGTCACAAGCGAGACAGAACAGGTACCTTCTTCTGTACCGGACAGTGGAGGGGCGTTAATGGAGGTACAGCAGGGCGGGCACACCAGATGGTTCAAGTACGTACCCGGCTGTCAGCTCAGGTTGCCCCAGTATCAGCACCAATCTCGAGTGGATGGCAACCGCATCGTTTGCAAATCCCCAAGAGGAGTCGGATGGTATCTGTTCTTTCTCCACTGATTCTGATTGCGGTACTGATTCTCTTCCGACTATAGGAACTTTGGCTTACGGCTCATTTTACCTGCATGAGGGAGGGAAAGAAAAACAAAGGCAGCAAGGCGATTGTCGAGGTGTTCAGACATGGGTCTTATCAACTTGATGGACGGGCACTTTGATCGGGAAGGCTGCCCTACCCATTCGGCAACGCAAACGAGACATAAGTGAACAGGTGTCTGTCAACCTCAGTGCACCTCACGCCATCTCCATCGTGGGACATCGTACATGGCCATTATCACGCCGCACGCACAGCATGACACCAGAGGCACGTCGCAGCACGAGCACGTCCTTTCCTCCATGGCGAAGCTTGACTCCCTCGCTGGGCTGTAGGGCGGCCATTCCGGGTTGAGTGTCCGGGGAGGATTGGAATCCCAAGCCCCAAGAGCACGGAACCTCTCTAGGGACCTTGTCCCTACCGTTCCTGGGTACGGGTGGCCTACGCAGTAGGTATACCGCACTAATACTTAGGCGCCGGCCGAAGGCAAATTCCACACTATTTTTGGGGTCCCATTCTCCAGCTCCGAGGCCCAGGGTGCACCAGGTGGGAGGGACCCGTTGTGTCGTTGCAGTTGGGGGCTCCTGCTGGACGACTGAGTCGGGTCTTGGGGCCCTGGGGGAGCATTGGAGGGGGCTTCTTGGTCTCACTCTCGGGGTCCTCTTTGCTGGGCGAGAATAAAGCTGCTGAGTGGTGAGGATGGGTGAAGGGCGGAGACGCGAGAGCGCAGGCATTGCCGTCATTGGGTCGCGTTTTAAAATAAGAGGGAGGTCTGGGGGGTCTGGGGAGGGGCTCTTCGGCCTTGAGCGGTTCTCAACACGAACTTGTCGTACTCGCCCGTTGACAGTTCTACCTGTTAGCGAACCGAGTGAATTGGCCGCTTACTATCCGTAGATAACTGTTTCCTTTCAAGGTTGAGTGGGCTCGTAAATTCTCCCTCGTGTTCATAGTCTGCATACGACCTGTTTCCATAAAATAATTCACTTCGTATCCGTTTTAATTCCTGACCACCACCTCGCTCCAGCCCAACACGGGCTGGCCCGCTGGCATCAATTCTTCAGCTGCTAATACTGCAGTAAGAGGTACTGGGTAGAAGCAACTTTGTAAGGTCGGTCGCCGGTCGTCTATGGAGTCGTGGTCGCGCCTAGCAAATCGCACGTGTAGGTCACAGATCAAATGCAATGCAATACGCAGTCTCATGTACCCCTTGATTTCACGGATTTGCATACACATCGGACAATTCAAGGTTCAGAGTTCAGACGCTACTTACATGATGATGTGCAGCCCTTAAGTTTCAGACATGGGACGAATCTATCAAGCTGTCCGAACCTTAGCCTACTTGAGCAGCAGCGTCCTTGGCGAGCCGCAACTTGGCCATCCCATCTCAAAAGGTACCTTACACTGCGGTAAGCATGTGGGTGACAAAATAAGATGTCTGGGCCGGTCAACAGACAAGGAGCCGCATTCTCAAAGTCATTGTTGCTATCATAGTTGCCATGCGCTGTCTAAATCGTGTTCAGTGAGAAAGACATGAGAAATGTGAAGCAATCATAGCAGCAGTGGCAATAAGTAGAAACAAGGCCGAGGAAAGTTTTGACCTTGTGTCTTGTAGATTTCCTCCGAGAACTTAGGAAGGCACTCTCAGAGAGGCCACATGTCGCGTGAGCAACACCCGGACTGTCCAGCCGGAGCTGTTCCCTGCGACCAGCCAAAAAGAAAAGCTTCCCGCAACAAAAACAAGCAAACACCACATGCAAGATCCCGTCCAAGACAAGAGGTGTGGATAACAAATCTCTTCAACCAGAAAACTTAACTGCCTTGTCCGTTGCATACAGCACGTGGCATTGACGCCGCTTGCCCTTTTCTCTACACAATTCTGTCCGATGCAGCAGAAGTTCTCTTCTCCTCCTTCATGAGACATCTCTCCGAGACAAATCGATGAGGAACGAGCAACTTGGTCGATGAAAGGCATCCCGCTAAAGCATTTCGGAAACCTCGCAAGTCATGCAAGCCGCCTATCGAGCCGCTAATACGACGCAGAGCCGAAACTTCTTCACCTTAGCAAAGATACCTACGAGTCATTTTGCTTCTCTTTTCACGGACACGACGCAGACAATTACCATCAACTCCACAACACACAAAGTATGTCGAAAATCAAATCGCTTTCATCATTTCATTTCCTAGCTGTCGCTCGCACCGCAATTAAACCCAACTCAGGGATGGCCACCCGACCGTGTCTGTGTTACTCCGTACGGGTACAACGTTCAAACTCGCCCCGATCCAACAAACTAGATGCCAAGGCCCGCCACGCCGTTATCAATAGGTTCACGCATGGACCATTTGCCGGAGTCTCTTCTCAATCTTCTGACGTCCATCCAACGTCTCCCACACGTTGTGAGGCGCGTCGTCGACCGTATCCCAATGCTTCAGGTTTCTCGTCAGATGGCTGAAATCTCTCTGCTTGTCCTCCCATTCGCTGTCCTTGCGAATGTTGACGCCGGAGCTGATGACCACCAGTGGGGTATTCGGGTACTGGATGGCCTTACTACTAATCACCTCGCGCTTGGTGAGTGAATCAGCCACGAGACTCTCCTGCAACTTTGAGAACAGGTACTTTCCACTCTGTCTGGCTGAACGACCCCAGACGCGGTCTGCGCTAGTGCGTCCACGGAAGATGGCGCCTGGCAGACGTTCGATTCCGAGAGGGGAGAAGACGCCACGAAGCCAGTAGGAGAAGCCTCTACCGGGGTCCGAAACCCGGTGAAGAAGGTCTTCGTGAAGCGGATCGATCAGAAGAAGGCCGTTTACTTCTCTGCCGTGTCGAGAGGAGAAGATTTGAGAGTAAACGGAACCAATTCCAGCGCTGGCAAGGATCCAAGGGCCCTTCTCACCAGCTCGTGCGAGAGCCTCGCTAAGGGCGTCAGTTGCCATGCCTGCTGACAGAGGGCTGGGGGCGGTATCGCTCCATCCGTAGCCCGGACGGTCGGCGAAGCAGTATCTTGAGATGGAGTCGTTCTTCAAAGCGTTTTGCGCAAACTGCCACAGTCCATTCTCGACTGGCAAGTCACCTCCCTCGAAGAAAACAGTAGGTAGCTTGTTGCCCGCGGCATCAGTGCCGTTCCCATCGCAGTAGACGTGAATGCGGTATTGGTCGCCATCGACCCAGTACTGCTCGCCCGGCGGGCCAAACCCGGCATCAAGAGATCGTAGAATCAGAGTGGCAGTGATAAGAATGATGATCAGAGACAGGACGACATAGGCCACCGTTGAGATGAGCACCTCGGTCCATTCCCAGACTGTGCGCCTCGTCTCAACGCGGCCAGTCAGCCTCTCCTCCTCTTCAGCTTTGCCCCATTTCACAGTTCGGTCACAGGCGAGTGCCCACAAGCTCACGACGAATGCCCCTGAGGGTGGCCTTGTCAGCAAAGGACCGGTCACATCAGATGCCAAACTCTCAACTTACAGACAACACTCGCAACTCCCACTCCAGCCTCTTCGTAACGGTTCTTCTGCACCGCAACAATGAGGATCATGTTGACAAGTAGCATGAGAGCCATAAAGATGGCCAGAACCCGGACAGCCTTGGACGGAGCCGCAAAGAACACGAGAGTAAACAGAAGCGTGAACAGTGCTACACTCGAATAGCTGAAGGCGTAAAATCCGGAACCGCGGGTGTGCATCCCAGGCGGCGTAACGAAGGAGGAAACCAAAGTCAGAGTCCACCACGTGAAAGTGAGTGCCGTGAAGAGAACAGTCACCCATCGCAGCAATCGCACCGTCCACAGGTTGTAAGGAGACACCGCCGGGTCATCGGGCGTCAAATACTGGCGGTTGTCGCTGTCGAGCCGGTTCGGTAGGAGCCGAGTGTGTTCATCGGGTTCCCGTGCCGCGTACTCATTCGAACCTCTCTCTTCCGGAGGACCAGGTCCATCACGGACCTCCTGATCGTCGTCCTTCTTGTTCCTCGAACCCCAAAGCGAAGACATGGCTGGCGTTTTGTGTCGTAGCTATCGTCGAAGGCCTGGACAACGGGGGGGATGTTCGCACCAAGTGGCACAAGTGATATGCGGCAGGGTATCTTTCGTAAATGCAACCTTGACCGAAAAGTACAGAAAACCGATGCAAAAAAGGAAGAATACGAGGGAGAGAAAGAGGGAGAAAGCTGGGAACTGGGGGACACACGTCCAAGTAAATGGCGGTAGACTGAAGCAGCTAAGACGAACGACCGTGGACTAGGCACTAATACCTACTTACATCCCGCTCACAGACGTCTCAATGACGGCAGGGGGGGCCCAGAGCTTCATCGAATCAATGCTGCAACCACCACTCACCAGAGGGCAGAGGCCAGAGCTTCCTGGTCATGTACGTCATCCTCTGCAATTGGGGGAACGCGACACACAGCGCTGTCACCGAATGCGGAAAGGTGGGGAAAATAACCACGGCGCTGGCGCCGTGAGGATCGCCGATTGGGAGGCCCCATTTTCCAGCAGTCCAGTCGGGGGAGCTGGCCACTGGTGACTGCTTCAGCACACTGCCCGTCCGAAATCTCCACACCCGACTCGGAGCTAAGCTCCGGCCTAGCGTGGGGGATTGACGAAGCGGTGGTAGCCAACACGGGAGCGAGTTGGCGAGAAGCAGATGCTCGCGCCTCACTTTGGGCAGCATGGAAAGAAACAGGGAATTCAACGTTGGTGGTGGTGACCCAGCCAGCTGCTCTTTGCTGTCCTGCAAATGCATCTGCATCTGCGAGTGCCAATGACAGTTTTCAGCTCCATACCTGAGCTAACACGAGCATCAAGTGGTGTCTCGGTGTTCGACTTGACCAACCAACCAACCGCATGCGATGGAGCTGTCACTCACGCAATCTTGACGGCTAGGCCTCCTCCACACCACTGGTGAATCCCATCGTGACTAAATCTCTCAATTGTCCCGCCCCAGTGTGCCCTACATGACTTCCGGCAAGTGTGTGGAGTTATGCCGCGATTGGGGACCGATATTGCGATACATTTTGTGCCTGCCCCAATTTCCTGGCCCATGATTGCTCCAGATCTCCAAATAGGAACTATTCATCGTCAATGTCAAGTACGCATGTACCTTCAACATCCTCTGTGACCGTCACCAGCCGTCAACCATTGGGAACATTACGTTGGCATGTGAATTTGGCACTCAAGGAGCATAGTGGGAAATCTTCCGCTTTCATCAGACTATGGTGCTCTTATAGACAGTCGTTTCAGGCCCTCCATCCTGTGGCGCACAAACGGCCAACAAAGTTTGAAAATTCCACCGCAGCTTCTGTGACAGGCTCATTGCCGTGGCGTCTAGAAGCGGGTATAATGCAAACGCGATTCAAGCAAATCGTCATCATCTTTCAGTCGTTGTCTCGTTCATCAATCCACATACTCCCGCGTCTGCCTTGTCACAAATAAAGGCATGCCCCTTCCCCAATTTCAGCCTGTTGAGTATCACGCCTATGCCCATGGGGCAATAGGGTTGACCTCCCTGCTACCCGCCGAAGACTCAGATGAAACAGAGCCGGAGATTCTCTCGCAACCGCCATATGCTTGGCGAACCTGCTTTCGATTGGCAAACTTCTTCTTGGCAATCGTCTCGGGATCAGGCCCGCTGGAAGGCTTGATGGCCTCTTCGGGAATTGCTCCAATAGGAGCGTGCAGCTTTGCGCTGGCATCTGGGTTATTCATCGCGATCCCATGTTTGTGGTACTCTTGTTTCTTGAGCTGTTTCC